CAGACCCCTCCCCAGATCCTGTCCCCCACTGCCTCAGTGCTCACCTGGGACTCCCGCGATACTTGTGTCATCACCCCACCAGTTGTGAAGATTGGTCATAAGCAGATCTAGCAGTTCTTTTGGATTTCTTTGTTTCTTTGTTTTTGTTTATTCCCCTGCCAGAGTATGTCGGGGGGAAGGTTGTGTGGTACACAGTGTTGATGTGTGCTGTTGGCTGGTGCCAGCCCATGGGTGGTCCTGGGGTCTGATTCAGTGACTCTTGCTCAAAGTGATACGGTTTCCATGCGGACATGTCCAACAAATGCGATCTGGAGAAGGCTCCTGTCAGAATTAGGCACACATGCAGGAGGGGGCCACAGGTGAGCCCCAGCTTCCTCTGGCCTGGCGGCCTAGATGCTGTGGGGTCTTCAGGGAGGACCTGTCACCACTCCCCAGGCTGCCTGTTCCAGGGATTATCTCACGGCTCCGGACATGGTCAGGCTCAGGCCTTTCTTGGGCGGCATCAAGGCCTCTGACTCCCACATCCCTATCACAAAGCTGACGGCTGGTGTGGTGAGCCTTCTGGCTGGGGCCTGGACAGACTTTCAGGATGAGCTAAAGCCAGTGTTGATTTTTGCTGACACCCAGGAATGTACTCAGGTGGGGGTTAAGCTGAAGCTGTTTTTGTGCCAATTAGAGACTTTGCCATACACAGTATTTCATAAACACTCAACTTTGTCAGAGTGAATTTCTAAGTGAATTGCACAGCATCACAGTTTTTGTTTTGTTTGTGCAGTGCTGGGGATTGAACCCAGGGAGCACTGTGCTTTACATTCCCAGTTTCTCTCTACCACATTTCCTTTTTGCGGGGGATAGGGTCTCTCTGAGTTGCCCAGGCTCGTCTTAAACTTGTGATCCTTCTGCCTCAGCTTCCCGAGTAGCTGGGATTATAGATGTGCATCCTCTCACCCAGCTCTGAGTTTGTATTTAAGGTAGCTTCGTAGCTACCCTTTTAGTCTGGACCTACTGATTTTGAGGTCACTAAAGTGTACCAAGGGGATGTGGCCAGGAGGTAGCTGGGCATCCTGCTCTGGGGCTAAGGACTGGAATGTAGGTGCCACAGAAACACACAGCTGAAGGCTTGGCATGTCTGTGAAGTAAATACAGACACAAGGATGTAGAAGGCAAGCCTAGACAGACCCAGATGGGGCTTGGACGCATCTGTCAGAAAAGCAAAGAGCAGCTAGAAATCAGGACTGAGGCTGAGGGACCTGGGGTAAGAAGACAAGCAGAAAAAGGCAGAGTGCAAAGCTAAGGACCGGATGGCAGATATGGCAAAGAGGCCCTGGGGGCCTGGGCAGGGCTGTGGTGTCACAGCCAGGAAGAGAAAAGTTTCAGGCGGGCATCTTGTAGAGAAGGCAGATGCGAGGGGCTCCCGGGAAAGGCATTGCTTTCTGTTAACGTTATTATTCACGGGAGAGGCTTGTGTGTCCTGAAACACTAGCAGGAAGGGGAGGCTGGGAGGGAGAGGTTGAAGACACAGGCAAGGGCTCTGGGGGATACACCAGTGAGACAGTGGGTCCTAGGGAGGGAAGCCAGAGGGGCACAGGGGAACCAGGGGAAATGGAAAGCTTAGTGCAGGAAGTTTTCTCTTGTCTGCCCCGATGAACACTGGGGATATCTCCATGAAGACAGTGGCAGAGGACTGTGCGCGTGCCCCGCCTCCTTTCACATCACTGTGCCCTCAGCCCAGAGCTTGGAACCAAGGCCAGCCCGTGAGCTGCAGGCCTGCGCCCTGGCGAGGGGATACATACAGCCAGGGCTGCTGGGGCTCACCCAGGATGCGCAGGACCCAGGCCTTCCTGGCCTCTGCCCAGATCACCCGTCTCTTACCAGGGGCCAGCCTTGTCTCCTCTGGTCCATCGTAACTTAACTGCAGTCACATCAGTTTGTAGCATGAACCTTTTTAGGCATTAGTGACTGGAAGAGTTTTGTTTTATTAATTCATATTTTCCAAAGCCACTTCACACAGATGGACTCTTTTGTAATTCTGTAAAGCCAAACACGGGAGAAAAATGGTGCCAGAGAGGTTGGGCCTAGAACTCAGTTTAGTGAGGATAGAATGGTCTGATTTCTTCTGACATCTTGATAAATCTTTCTGCACCAAGTTGGGAAGTATCACCACAGAGGAGTATTCAGACCTCGCTGGCTGAACAGATGCTGTTGGAGCGCTGTGTCAGACGGGCTCTGTCTGGGTGCCACCATCTTTGCCGGGCTCTTCCTCCTGCAGTCCCCACTGCAGTCCTCTGGGCTGCTTGTAGCACTCTCATTGTCATCAGAGATGAAAGTGATGCCCAGGAAACTAGTGATGGGGCTGGGATCCAACTGGGCTTCGGCCTTTATGCCTTTCATTGCATCAAAGCACCTCCCAGACATAATGTTTCACAGTGCTGGGGATTTAATTTTAATGTTATCTGTCTTCTGGTGTACAAGTCTCCTTAAGGAACTGTCAAATCCCCAGAGCTGCAGAGTTTGAAATCAGGGTCTTTGAAGTGTTCAGACCAAATAAGACAGGCAGATGGACAAAGTCCCTGCTTTGGCCCTTACCCATACGACATCAACAAAATGAAATGGAAATAATAGATTTCGTCAGTAATTCAAGACAGCAGTGGGAGAGTGGGGTCAGAAAAGGAATAGGGTATTAGTGGTTGGAGCTTAAGCTGAACGCTTCTTTTGCTGCTTCACAGCAGTGTCCTTTAGGAAGGGAAGACAGTCTTTACCAAGTGCCTACCCCTGCCAGGCTCTCTCAGATGAGAGCCTAGAGTTCTGAGAAGACAAGGGTTATGCAGCTGAGCATGAACAGCCAAGATCTGACACAGGTCTAACTGTAGGTGCACAGTTCTTCTCCAGGTGTCTTCCTAAGTTGTCACGGTGTGGAAATATGACCACAGACTCTTGAGCGCACACAAGACTTCTGCTGTTTATTCTTTTTTAATCCAGGAAAAACACACAGAGGGACTAACTACGAAGAGAAAAATCGGGCAACAACCACACCCCAGTCCTGAACATCAGTGTAACGAGCTGGGCTTTATATTTATTGTAACCCAGATATCCCAGCACTGGTTTGGGATCCTCAGGGGAAGAGGACTGACTGTCTGTCTGTCCTGACAGACAGATTTTAAAGGGGCAATAATATACACTTGCAGAATGATTCAAATCTGATTTGCACGTGTATGTGTGTGTGTGTGTGTGTGTGTGGCACTGGGGATTGAACCTAGGGCCTTCACACTGAGCTATACCAGCGACTCTTTTAATTTTTTATTTTAGGACAAAGTCTCATTAAATTGCACAGTTTCCCAGGCTGAACTTGAACTTTCAGTCTCCTGTCTCAGCCTCCCGGAGTGCTGGGATTACAGGCACGTGCCACCACATCCAGCTCGAGTATGTTTTAATGAGGTCGGGGGAGGAAATACACGCCAGTGAGTCAGGTCAAATATACATTTGAAATGAAGCACAAATGCTCATTTTCTCAACATGGAGAATCATAGTGAACAGAGGTGAATGCTACATCACCACGAGATTCATGTTTGATTTTGAGAAGTGGAGTCATAGCCTTCACTCAAGAAGATGAACACTGAGCCTTCGTCTCGTTTGTTAAAATTCAATGTGAGAATCACACGAGATAACACATGTGAAGTGCTTGGCCTAGTGCTTGCATAGAGGGGATGCTCACTAAATGGGGGCATTAGTTAGTCACCGTTACTGCTCTTAGTTGAAGGGTGTAAAGGACTTGTATTGTCTCATGGCTGTGACTGAGGACAGTGATGCTCTTTACAAATGGGAGGCAGCCAGGAGGTCTTAGGCCTTGGCTGGTTCCCATGCTGTCCCGCCTCTAGGCTGTGCATTTGTAACCAGAGCTGCCCATTACGCTCAGCCAGGGTCCCACACACACCTGTGTGGGGCTCTTTGCTGGGTGTTGAGATACATTTGACCAGCACAGCACACCAGACATGATTTCCCAGCCAGCAAGTTTTGTCTTTGGCTATTCCCACTGCACACCTTGACTTCCCTAATTTGTTTCTGTTCCTGCTGTGGGCATCTCTCACCAAAGATCTTTAGAAGTTCCAGGTGTGTGGCAAAAAAGGACACTAATAATATCAAGGGCTGATATGAATTAATAAGAGGTCTTTGAACTCAGGGTAAAGAACTTTAGCATTAACTATATTTTCTCCATTCTTTGTCAGGGTTCACCAAGGTACAGGCTAGGAATGCTGGGCCTTCAGATAAAGGCTTTGTCTTGGTGCTTTTATATATCCCTAGATAAGCCCCGTTGTAATAAGGTGTTCCCATCATCCCTAGATAGGAACAAGCCTTACTGAGACGTAAAGCCTAGGTAATTTGATTCTTCCAATTAGGATGATAAGGCTGTTGAAAAAGGCAGAGACAAGGCCTCTGAACAAGACACTAATAGGAACCTTCCCTCCTGCCCCCTTTTGGCAATAGGAGAGATGTGAAAGGAATCCTAGGGCATCCCAGAAGCTTCTCTTGTTGGAGTAGCTTAGACTAAAACTTTGCCTGACTCCAGGATGGAGGATGGTGTCACATGTCCGATGAAATCTGAGATTCCTCAACTAGATTTTAATTTTGTTAGCCTGGAGCCCTGGAGTCGCATCTATGACCACATAAGCCCGGATGCTGGTTAAAATATTTATGCCCTCTCAGATAATTCACATGGTAAGAAAGGACGTTTAGTCCCAGAGAAGCTGGCAGAGGGGATGTGCTAGGATTTCTTAGACAAAGAAATCTTGGGAAATGTGGCCAGAGTTATGGGGAAAAGTATTCCTCCTTATCTCTAATGGTCCCTGCATGTACAGCCACCTCAGACCCAGCCCTCCTCTCCCACCGGGTGAAGATGTGACGTCAGCCCTGCCCCGCCTCCATGGTTATCTACTAATAAGATGCCATGGTGTATTTTTCATCCTGATCAGAATTCCTGTTGAAAATGACTCTGTGCTTCCTAGGAACTAGCCAGCTGTGGATGGAGTAAGAAGGAGAAACATAGTCTCGCCCCCAACGTCGTGGCCTTTACCCGGAGGTTTAACCAGGTAAGCATCGCCCTTGCATGAGCCTGTGCAGATGGCAACCTATCATCGCTGTAGCAAGCCCTACCAGGGTTCTGTCCGAGGCACCTGGCCCCAGGTCCAAACCCCTCTTCCTAAACTGCCCACCTTCATTCTCTCTGGCACCATTACAGTCCATTTTCACAAAGCAGGTAGAAACGAATGTACCTTTGCTATGCTGATATCACTCAGGGGCTTTGATTCCACAACAGCTCAAGTCTGAGCACCTTGCAGCTCTCTGGAAGGTCCTGCTTGGGGAATCCAGCCTCTGCCCCACCCAGGAGCCTGATCTTGCCCCTGCCCCTCTCTCGTCAGGATTTGCATCCTGGCCTTCGGTCTTGTGCTAATGCACACATCTGCCCTGCCAGCTCCCTCCTTCCCTGATGCTCTTCTCCTGATGCTGTTCAGCACTCTTAGCCTGTGTGTTACTTCCTCAGGGAGCTGTTCCTGAGTCCCCAGCCTGTCTGAGGTCTCCTAGTCATCTGTCCTTCATCGTACCTTCTACTTTGTGTGGTACTTACTCACCCGTCCTCATTCTGTGTAGCCCTGAGGTCTGTCTCTGCCTTCCTTCCCAGGTGAGAGCACTGTGAGAACAGCACCATGTCCATCTTGTTTGTCACTGTGTCCCCATTAGCCTTGCCCTGTGTCAGGCATATATATAACAGACCCTTAGTAAGTCAGTGTGGGATGAATGAAACAACTTGTTTGAATCCAAACTCACAGCCCCTTACTATTCCAAACTGAGTTGGTCTAGCTTGGCCTAACTTTGCCCCAGGTATAAAGAGCTGCGTGCCCATTTATTGACTAATGACTGAACACGTAGACTACCTGAGGGGTAGGGCTTCTGATTTCCCATCTAGAGCTGCCAGAGCATGATTGTAGGTAGAAAGCAACCTGTAAGATTCCCTTTGCATAAGCCAGAACCCCATGGTGCTATTGGCAGTTTTTCTTCTTTATTCCAGTTTCACATGAGGACACTGGCCTTGAGGTTGCATAATGTGCATGGCTGGCCCTCTGGGTGCTGGGGCTCATGTTCCCTTGGGGCCTTGGGGCCAGCTGGGCCTTCCCTCTCGGAAATGCTAGTCCTATGCATCACTGTTGCTCAACATCTCCAGCCCCCCCCCCAAGTGTGGTGGGAGCCCCAGAGAGGCACTAGTTTGCTTTTTAAAGATCAGGGCTCATGCAGGCTTTAGTGTTATTTGATGTAATACAGTAGGAGACAAGAAAAGACTTCATATATCTGGGATAGGGGCTGCACACCGTCTGTTCTGAAAAGAGAAGTTCTAAGGCCTTTTGCTTCTTTCCTCTTTCTTTTGAAAGTTTTTTCAACTGGGCTTAGTCTTTTTTAAAAAACAGATGTGCACAAACTCTCAGGGGATTCATAGTTTCCTTAACAAAACTATTCAACTGGGAGCCAACTCAGTCCCCACCTTTGACCAGCCACAGAGCTCCCGGAGGAGGGGCTGTTGGGGCTCTGATGTAATCTCTTTTGCACGCAGATGCCAGGTCAGCTTGGCAAAGGCAGGGCAGCTTGTTCTGTGAACAGTTGCACTGTGTCCAGCTCAGGCCAAGTGGTGAAATGAGCCAGAAGTGAAGGCCCGTTTTCTCAAACAAAATGCTCTGGGAAATGGGCTTCCTGCTGACCCGTCAGCTACTCTGAGACCAGCAGCTCCCGGACATAGCCCTGGTAGCTCTGGTTTGAAACCGGTCAGAGGCCAGCCTGGTCAGCCACTGGAGCTGCTTTGCATAAGATGAACTCATTGGCACCCCTTCCCAGCAGACCTTTCACATGTGAGACCAGAACTCCTCATCAGCCTCCAGAGAAGAGAAAGCAGGCGACTTACCTCTCAGAGCCTCAGTTTCCTTGTCTGTAACTGAGAAGAATCACAGCAGTCACCTTGCACAGCTGTTATGAAGAATAAATGAAATGGTATATGAAGAACTTTCAACATCGTGTCTAGCACATGGTATGCCTCCAAATGTTCCAAAGGAAGAAAAGGAAAACACGAAGGTCAGCTAATGGGAAGGAGCTTGCCTTGGGATTTGAGGCAACTTGTCGCCAAATCAGAGCCCAAGTAGTGAGTGTCCTGGCCAGTCCACCTGCCTCTCCATGGGCCCGAGTCCTTTGGGATTTCTTCATAGAATGGCTGAAGGGAAGACCTCAGCCAGGTTCACAAAAGGTCTGTTATGTACCAGGCCTGTTTCTCCACTCCGAGGAGTTCACCATATAGCCCAGAAGTTCTGGTCTCTTTTGGATCATGGGTCTTTGTGAGAATCCGACAACATTACATATGAACCTATCCCCAGAAAATATGGGAAAATTTATGCTCAGATACATAAATGTACTTTTTACATACATTTAACTTTGGGGGTTTTATTGCTCCCCTAAATTGTGTATAGGGACACGGTAAGGGTCTCAGGATCAAACAGAACTGGGTTTGAGTCCTAGATCCACAGTTTATCAGCTGTGTTGTCTTGGGCTGACTTGTGGCCTCTGTGAGCTCATTTTCCTCAGGAAGCATCTCAAGTGGCCTTTAAAGATTAAATGAGAATTGTGGGTGTAAAGAACTTGGCCCAGTACTTGGTGCATAGGAAACGATCCATGTTAACTTTTTAAAAAGGAGCAACATTGTTGGAACTCTTAAGGCCAGAGTAAGAGGTTGGGGCCTAAGTGCAGACGTGAGGTGGGGATTGGGTCCCAAGAATGCTGAAAATCCTGGAAGAGATGAAGGAGTCACTGGGAAGAGCCAAAGTTTAAGCAAGAGCCTGAGGACTGCTGCCACTTGTTCACGAGCATTGGGCAGGGGCTGTACAGGAGGCCAAGCAAGGGGAACCAGGAGCAGGAAGAGCGCTCGGGAAGGGCAGTGTCTAGAACCCGTTTCAAGGTGAGGAGTGCTGCAACTTCAGCCACCCAAGACAGGGCCAAGAAAGAGACCTTGGAGCCTGGCAGCAGGGCCTGCTGGTGACCTCAGCCAGACAGTTTGGCGGGGACATGCTGACACAGTGGTGCGAGGAGGAGGAGATGATGGAGAGGGCGGGCGTGGGTGAGCCCTGCAACAGGGCTCCAAGGGTGGAAGGCAAGGAGCAGGAGTGCCAGGAAGTAGTCGTGTTTTCTTCTTTTAAGTGGGCAGAGCCTTGAGGAAGTTCATAGTTTGGATGGAACCATCTAGTGAGTCCAAGAAGTTAAAGATGAGAGAGAGAGAGAGAGAGAGAGAGAGAGGGAGAGGGACAGGGAGAGGGAGAGGGACAGGGAGAGGGAGAGGGAGAGGGAGGGAGAGAGAGAGGGCTGGCTGATGAAGTCAAGTCTGACAGAAGGAGGGAGAGGCTGAGACCTCATCTTCAGGTGGGTGAGATGATGGCCATCTCAGGTGTGGTGTGAGGAGACCTATGGCTCCTCTTCACCAGGGAAACTGGAGGTGAAGGTACAGCGGGGATCAGGAAATTGTGAGAAATCCACTCCACAGTAAGGGACAGAGCTGGCTGTGCAAAGTTAAGAGACTCTTGGGCAACAGCAGTGGCCAGATGAAATAGAATGTCTTTGAAAGTTTCCCCAGAGCGTATGGGAAAGTGGTCTTCTCCAGTTGTCCTTGGTAGGCTGGGAGTGGGAGCATAGGAAGGCGGTCCACTCCCACACACAGGCTGGCAAAGCAGTTTCTGGAAGAACACCTAAAGTTAAAGAAGGAAAGGTTTATTTGGGGTCACAGTTTGTAGAGGTTTCAGTCCGTAATTGGCTGGCTCCAAGGCAAGGTGGTGTGGCTGGGGCATCACATGGGAGAAAAAACAGTTCATGTCATGGAAGGCAGAAGGCAGGAGGCAGCAAAAGCAGCAAGCAGCAAGGGACAGCAGCAGCCCTCTTTTTGTCCCTTACATTCCATCTAGACCACACCCCCTTTAGGGCAGGTAGCACACACACCCAGGATGGACCTCCTCATTATGTACACCCAGAACTATGCCAAACCAATCAGTGAATTTAGTAATCGCACATCCTTCATCCAGGCCCCACACACATTCCAGATCCACCCACCTCTGAAAAGCCCCACCTATGGCCACATCAAGTTTTAGGGGGACGCCTAGATACAAGCCACAACAGATGCCCAGAAAGGCTGCCAGGGATAATAGGGGTGGTGAGAAAACAGATCTGGGACAGAGGATCAAGGAGGAGGTGAGGCCTACAAGACTTGAAGGTGTAGCCCAAGACTTGGATATGTTTGTGGTATCAAGCGGCCCCTGGTAATCAAGAAGGAAGTAACAGAAGTGGTGGGGTTAAGAGTTGCTTCGGCTGAAATCACGATCATTTCTAGTGATGTCAAAGCTGCCTAAGAGGCTGAATTTGATGTGGAGAGGAAGACAGCGACCCAGATCCAGGTCTACTCACTACCTTTATACTTTTATCTTTTCTAGACTGTCGTAGGGGAATAAAAAAGAATCATACATATGTATCCTTTTCAGACTGGCTCCCCACCTTTTTAATATGAATTTATGGTTCATCTCTGTCTATGTGACTTGATAACTCATTCCTTTTTTTTTTTTTTTTTTTTTTTTGTG